CCCCCCCCCCTTTCCCGCGCTGTTAATTAATTAATTACTGGTTATTTCGCCGTTAATAAAAACCACAACGAGGGTTTCGTGCCGTTTATTTTTGGGGAGGGGGGACAAAAGGGGATATTTGGGGGGGGGAGAGGGCGAAAAATTGCGTCACGTGGTGCAAGAAACGCCCCTCCCCCGGTAAAAAAAAAAAGGGTTGTGGCCCTTTAAATCAGCTGAGGGCGTGGTCTTTGCTGACCACGCCTCTTATCTGCGCACGCGCATTTCCGCCGGGCTTGGCCACGCCCTCCCCGCGCCGGAGCCGGGACCCGGCGAGAGGCGGGAAAAGCTCCGGGACCCCCGCGGGGGAACAGAGACCTTTGGGGACCCCCCCGGGACCTTTGGGGACCCCCCCGAGGGGATCCGGGACCCCCCCGGGACCTCCCGGGCGCCCCCAGAGCCCCCCCCGGACACCCCGCGGGTTCCCGGATGTCGGACTCGGGGCAAAGCCCCGCCCCCGCCGCGCGCAGGCGCTGCTGGAACCGCGAGAAGGAGCCGGAAGGAGGCGGGGCCGAGAGACGGGTGGGCGGGGCTTGGGATGATTGGCAGGTGCGGGGTGGGAGAGGGCGGGGCTTCGCTCTTTGGGCGGGGCCTGTGGGATGAGGGGGCGTGTCTGGCGCTTTGTGGGCGTGGTTATAGAGGTGTGGGCGTGGTTAGCTCGCGGTGGGTGTGGCCTGAGCCAAGGGCGTGACCCCGCTGACCCCGTTTCCCCCCCCCAGGAGGTGGGGGAGGAGCCCCCGGGGCCCCCCCAGAAGACCCCGATCATCCTGGCGAAGCCCCCCGGAGAACGGGTGAGCGGGGGGCACTGGGAGGGGCTGGGGGGCACTGGGAGGGGCTGGGGGGCACTGGGAAGGTCTGGGGGGCACTGGGAGGGACTGGGGGACACAGGGAGGGACTGGGGGGCACTGGGAGGGACTGGGATGGAGCGGGGGGAACTGGGAGGGACTGGGAGGGTGTTACACGCTCTGATGTCATCATTTTTGGTGGGCGTGTCCCCAGCAGGCTCCGCCCACCCAGAAGGCAGGACCATTGCAGGCCCCGCCCCCTCCCGCACCGGCCCCGCCCATCGTGCTGATGAAGGCGCGGGGCGAAGAGGGGCGGGGCCTCCCGGGGGGTGGAGCCTCCCAGGGGGAGGGGCCGGTGCAGCCCCCGCCCCCTGAGAGGGAGGGGCCCCGCCCCACCCAACCCATGTACCAACTGCACGGGAGGGGCCTCCCCCCCCCGGGGGCGCCCGACCGTGAGTGGGGGGTCAAAATGGGGGAGGGGCTAAAGGTGGGAGGGGCTGGGGTATGCAAATGAGGGAGCAGGTTCAATGAGGGAGGGGTTGTGGTATGTAAATGGAGGGGCGGGGTCAGTTGTGGGCGGGGCAATGGTTTGGGGGCAGGGCTACGGGGTGGGTGGGGCAGGAGGGGAGGAGTTAAAGGTTGTGGGTGTGGCTAAATGTTTGTGGGCGTGGCCTGGGGTACTGGGTGGGGTTAAGGGGTCGGGGCTGGAGGGGCGTGGCTAAAGGTGGTGGGTGCGGCTAAGTGTGGGCGTGGTTTGGGGATTGTGGGTGTGTCCCCCCAAAGGGGG